CACACACACACACACACACACACACACACACACACACACACACACACAGTATGGGTTTTCAAATGTCTTAGAAAGAATTCCAGAACCTTCAGTTCTTTCACATCTATGGTTCCAGACCCATCAACATCGAATAAGTCAAAGGCCTCTTTAATTTCTTGCTTTTGGGTGTCATTCAATTCAACTTTTGCTGCTTTTTTCTTCCACTGGTCTAAAGTCATGTGATAGCTGGATGCCTGAAGGAGGACACACAGGGGTGAAAACAGTATAACTAGAATGAATGTATTCAAGTGTCCCATTTCCTTTCACAGAATGAGCTTAAATGTCCTTGTTAATGCTTTTTTATTACTACCTCTCCCATCTTTTGAGACAGGGTCTTCCTCTGCAGCCAAGCCTGGCCTGGGACTCCTGCTCCTGCCTCTGCCTCCTAAGTATGGGTATTAATCTCTTGATGGAAAGTGTGGTGTTCTTTTTTCTCTTAGATTTTCCTCTGAAAACTAGAGCAGTTAGTCTTATCAGGAAAAGTATTAAGAGCACATGTGTGCTCTTCAAACATGTAGCACAGTGCTTGCTGGGGAATGCTTACTCAAGCACAATCCTCTCCCACTCTCCACTAGCAAGTGCCCTACACCACAGAAGCACAAAGTGAAAAACCACGTTTTTGGTGAACAGCTACTCCACGGGTCTGGATGAGAATGTTTGACCAATTACGGGGATGCACGGAACGTGGAAGACAGGGGCCTTTCTGCTGTCTGTTTCTGTCATCAAGCTGGGCCACAGAGCCGCTGTGATTCTTCTCTCTGGAGGTGGCCGTGGATCTAAGTGTATCTGTTTGTATGTTTGTATATGTTTTTGGCTATGGTCGCTGTAGGTTCTTCCCAGAGCCTAGGGCAGCCACCTGAGCCAGGATTTTCTCAGCAAGAAGTCAGAGGCCCCTTAGCTATGTGTGGCCTGACCTGGTGGACCCCTGCCTATCAGGAGAGGCAGTGCCCTTCTTCTCAGTGAAAGATCTGCTGGCCCTGCTGATCAGCAGTCGCCGACTAGGTGCCGCGCCCGCCCGTCAGCGGCTGAGCTGATTAGCCCGGTGAGGGCCAGGGGCTTTCGTCAGCGGCTGAGTTGATGGCCCGCTGGCTACGGTGGCCCGAGCTTGATGGCCTCTGCGGCGCTCGCCTCCCTGTCCGGAAGCCCCTCAGCCTCGGCACCTGTCCCGGCTGCCCCAGGGCAGGGTCTCTTTATCGCGGGGCCACCCCACCTGGACTGCAGGGGTCGGTGGATAAACGGAAAGGGAGTCCCATCCCTGAGCCCTGGCTGAGTCACTGAAGTTATCCAGGGATCCTGACACGAAAGGCAAGAAGCTGGGAAGCACACCGGGGTCCTACAGCACTCACCATGTCCCCAACCCGCGCCCCTGCCCGCGCCGGCGCCGCGCAACGGCCGCCCTCCCCTCCGCGGCGCGCGCTCGGGCCGGCCCGTTGCTAGGGCCGCGCTCCGAGCGTGAGCCCGCCCACCGGCTTCGGTGACTGACGGCCCTTGTGGCCAATGGAAAGGAAAAGAGTGCTCCGGGCGCGCGGAAGGCGCGGCGGGGACGGCCGGGTTCCGGCGCCGAGGGGAGCTGCGCGCGGTGAGGAGGGTCTTGGGCCCCGCGGGCGGAGAGGGCAGCGAGGGTGGGAGCCAGAGCGCTGTCCCGCGAGTCCGACCAACCGTCCTGCGGCCTTCCCGCCCCACGCCGCCCGGGTGGGGGCGTCCTCGCGGAGCGCCAGCCCGGGAGCGGGGACGACGGGGGCTCGCGGAGCTACGTCTGCCCGTGTATCGAAGCCGCCGCCGCCGCACCCCGCAGGCGCCCCCGGTTGTAACCCCTCAATCTCCTTAGGCCCCTGGGGAGTAGGTAAGTTTATCCTTAGGGTGGAAGCCATTTTTCCTGCCTCGGGTTTTCCCAGTGAGAACTCAAGTGATGTCAGTTCGTACTTTGCCAATGAAGTGAAGTGTTAACTCACTTAACTACAATCTGTTGGCTTTTCAGGCCGTGTATCTCACCTGGGAAAGTTACCCTTGGCCATTTCAAAGTCATGTTTAACGCTCGCTGAAACCCAGAAAAAATATACATATATATTATCTTAGCCATACATACATGTACACACGCACTCACACAGAGCTTAATTACACCTTTTAGGCTTTCCTGAATCTCATTTGGTCTGATAGCTATCAAAAGACTGCCAAAATTGGTTTTTGTAAAAGTAAAACCAATTTTACATCACTTTGACTTAGGAATTTGGATATTCTAGTTCAATTTTATTATTATTATTTTTTTTTAATGTATGTGCTTATTTTTTATTTTATTTTTCTGAGAGACTGGGCCTCACTATGTAGCTTTGGCTGTCCTTGAACTCACTATATAGACCAGGCTAGCCTATGCCAAGCTCAAAAAAAAAAAAAAAAAAAAAAAAAAGGTAAGTTCAGATTCTAGATTCTAACGACACCCCAGCCTTGAAAAGTGACTTCTGCTAATCCAGCAAGATAGTAAAGCTGTACACATTTTAAACTACCAGATTTATCCAGGGCATTCTACTGTCATACACTGTGACAGCTACTGGTGAGCCTGAAAGAAAGTGAGTAAACAGTAAATATTTGATTTTTTTTCAGTTGATCATTTAGTTATGTTTTCATTTTTTTTTTCAGAGATAATTGTAATTATCATTTGAAGGAGGAGTCCCCTTTAAAAGCAGTTAAAGGGCCCTAACTAAGGGATCCAAAGGTACTTGGAAGAGGAATCCTAACAGTGACATCTGTTTGCTCCTTTAGTGTACTCAAATTTGGGATAAGGAGCCACTTAAATATTTATTGAATGCCTGGGCTAAGGTGTCAGGCAGTATTCTAGGTTCTTGGGGTATCTCAGTGGCGGAAATCGTCACGTGGGAAATACACTTCAAGAGAAAATGATGGCCTGTACATATTATAATACATGTACTGTGCTCAGTTTGTAAAGTATGAGAGGATAAAAAGAAAGTAGAGCAGATAAAAAGTATCTAGCATATGGAAGCCCTGAAAAGGAAACTTGGAAAAGGTTTTAAAGATGTTCTAAGGTAGTAGATGTCTTGGAGTGAGCATTACAGAAAGAGGGATGCTTAGAAATATTGAGGTAGGGAACATGCCTTGTGTATTTTAAAAGCGCAAAGGAGCCCTGAGCAAAGGAGACTAGACAGTCAGGAAGGAACAAGTGTGGGTGTGAGTGCTGGGACACGGCCTTTATCTGAGTGAGTTAGAGAGACTGTAAGATTCTGAGCCTAGAAGTGAGAGGGTGTGGCTCACTCATATAGGAACTTCCTGTGCCAGACAAAGGAGCAAAGACTATTTTCTGAGAGGCCTCTAAGCAGTGGAGTGTTATGGTTAGATTATGGTGTTAGGAATAGACTGGAGGTGACCAAACTTGGCTCTGATGAGGAAAATCCTAGCTATACCCATCAAGAAATACAGAGCTTTTAAATATAACTCCTGAAAAGCATGTGTGAGTGTTCAAACTTGAATATTTAGCCAAAATGAGATACGATCAAAACTTCTGAAATCAACACCCCATTTAAATAATGCTTCTCTGTGCTCCCATTGCAGATAGAAAGTTAAGGACACGGGAATCCAACAAGTAACGAAACTGACCTGATTGTGGGAAGTCGTTAGTGCCAGGCACAGCACAACAAAAGTCAGGTTGTGTTAGTGCACCGCCAAGAACAGTTTCAGAGGTAGCTAATCACTTTTGAAATTACCCATTTTCCCATCTTCTTTACTGTCATTGCCTTTTCATACCCAACCTATTAGAAAATGAGGCATTCTTATTTTGAGTTTGTGTTAGTGATAGCCAGTTGCAGCCTCTTCAAAATCATTTAGTACTTGTTCCCACATTAGGGATGCTAAGACAATTTTTCAGTTATTACTCAAACTTGAAATAGATTCTTCAAATGCTAAAAGACCTCTTTTGAGTATTAATTTTTATATCTCTCGTGTATGACTTTATAGAATGTTGAAATACATCCTTTTTTGTCTTTTGTAACATAATTCAATACAGACTGAATTTGAAATACCTGTGAGTTTTTCCTGTTGTTTTGGGTTGTTTTCCACACAGTATATCTTCTAATTTAATCATAATCTGGAAAGGAGAGCATAAGCAAAACTGAATACCAACTCTCCCACCCCCACCCACATAGGCAAGTTAGGGGTTTCAGTAAGGCTTAGAACAAGCCAGAGGATTTGAAAGAGGGAAATGAAGATTCTAAAGAAGAGAGGCCAAGTTGCTGTCACACTAGGTGGAAGTGAAGCAAAATGGTGATTCGGTAATTAATAGCATGAACTTGGGTGGTAGTTTCTTGGGGTTTTACCTTTGACTTAATAATTAGGACATTTTGTGCATGTTACTCAGTTGTCATGCTTAGTTTTCAAAAAACAGGTTGATCATTTCAGTACCGACCTTATATTTTTGTTGTGCTTTCATTTGTAATACATGGCAAATGTCTTATATAAGGTAAACTCTCAAATTTTGTTAGTAATGAAAAAAAAAGCCACACTTTTAAACTTGTCCTTTCAAAAAGATTTTTTTCAGTTAGATATTTATGAAGAGAGAAATAGATCACTGTCTCCAATATCAGCTTATGGCAAATTACAAATATAAATGTAAAGAAAGGAACATTTAAAACACAAATTTCCTGCCATCAAACTTAACAGAAAGTTGCAGTTTTTATAGCAGTATGGTATTAGCACAAAATGATTACTTTGTCCAATGCAGTTGAACTGACAGCCCAGAAATAAACCTATGTATGTATAACAAGTTAATTTTTGATAAAGGCACTAAGAACATGCAAGAATAGTTCATTCAGCAGGTGGTACTAAGACAGCTGGATATCCACATGTAAAAGAACCTTTGCCTCACACCATGTGTAAAAATTAGCCCCACATCAATCAGTAAGCTAATAATGTATAGAATTCTGAAGAAAACATATGTATGACCTTGGATTTGATAATGGATTCTTAATATACCACCAAGAACATGACAAACCTCAATCAGTAGAGTCTTTCAGAGGCCCTCTATGTTAGGCCTGTTCCCTGTCATCTCCTGCTTATGATGTCTATTGTGTTTGTCCTTCTGAATGAGAATTGAGCATCTTCCCTAGGGTATTCCTTGTTTAGCTTCTTTAGGACTGTAGATTTTAGTATGTTTATCATATGTTATATGGTTGATATCCACTTATGAGTGAGTATATACCATGTGTGTCTTTCTGCTTCTGGGTTACCTCACTCAGGATGATTTTTGCTAGTTCCCACCATTTGCCTACAAATTTCATGATTTTCTTTTTTTTTAATAGCTGAGTAGTATTCCACAGTGTAAATGTACCACAATTTCTGTATCTATTCCTTGGTTGTTTCCAGATTCTGGCTATTATGAATAGAGCTGCTACGGCCTGTGAAAGACTCCACTGATCGAGGTATCGAAGCAGAGGCTGAGACTCATAGCCAAACTTTGGGCAGAGTGCAGGGAATCTTATGAAAGAAGGGGGAGGGGATAGAAAGACCTGGAGGGGACAGGAGCTCCAAAAGGAGACCAACAGAGCCATAAAAACTGAGCTCTGGGGTCCCTGAAGAGAATGATACCCCAAACAAAGACAATGCATGGAGAGAACCTAAAACCCCAGCTCAGATGTAACCCATAGACTCAGTCTCCAAGTGGGTTCCCTAGTAAGGGGGGCAGGGACTTTCTCTGGCATGAATTTAGTGGCTGGCTTTCTGGTCACCTCCCCCTGGGGGCTGCAGCCTTACTGGGCCACAGAAGAAGACAATGCAACCAGCCCTGATGAGACCTGCTAGGATAGGATAGGGTCAAATAGAAGGGGAGGAGGACCTCCCCTATCAGTGAACTAGGGAAGGGGCATAGGGAGAGAAGAGGGAGGTAGGGTGGGATTGGGGGGAGATGAAGGATGGGACCACAGCCTGGATGCATATTGAATAAATTGTAATAAATGATAATAATAAAAAAATTTTAAAAAGAACATGAGCAACAATGTCAATAAACAAATGTTATATTTTACCAAATCTAAAAACTTATGTCAAAATGCATTATTAAAACAGAAAAGACATCCTGTAGAACGATAGCTTGTACTTGAAAGTCAAATAGGGGAGGCTCCTCAGTGTTCATAGGGTAATGGTTTTAAGACTCCACTGTGGAAACTAAAGTCCACAGCTTTATATAAAATGGAGTATTTAAATCTAGCCTACACACATACTAGGTATATGTTATCCTTAAAATTAATATAATAATAAACTAAGGAAATGTAAATGCTAGATTAATAGTTAGGGGGTTTTGTTGATTTAGTTTAGTTTTTTGTTTTGTTTGGTTTTTGTTGTTGTTGTTGTTGTTGTTTTTCGAGACAGGCTTCTCTGTGTAGCCTTGGCCATCCTTGAACTCACAGAGATCTGCCTACCTCTAACTCCCTGAGTGCTGGGATCACAGGCATGGGCTACCATGCCCACCTAGGTTCATAGTTATTACAATACATTGTTTAAGGAATGATGACAGGATATGTTATATGTTCACTACAGGTACTGCGTTTGTTTTTGTGTTTTCCAAATATAGTCTATCAGCAGCTAGCTGCATCCAGGTGTGTGAGATGGGCTTCTGTTGTAGAGGGTTTACTGTCTGACATGTATAAAGAATTCTTTTTTTTTTAATAATTTATTTAAATTTTATTTTATGTGCATTAGTGCGAAGATGTCAGATCCCTTGGAATTGGCATTACAGACAGTTGTGAGCTGCCATGTGGGTGCTGGGAATTGAACCTGGGTCCTTGGAAGAGCAGACAGTGCTCTTAACCACTGAGCCATCTCTCCAGCCCCTATAAAGAATTCTTACAACTCAACAACACAAACCTTTAAAAATATACTCTTAAGGTAGGTAGAAAACTGCAGTAGGCATTTCTCTAAAGAAGATATACAAATATCCAGTAGGCTCAAGACGTTTAATATCATTAGTCATTAAGAAAATGAAATTCAAAATCACAATGAGCTATCTTTTCACATCTGCTAGGGTGGTTATAATTTTACAAAAGCAAAAACAAAATGATGAATATACTAATGGCTGAATAGTGCTGTCATACACACAAAATTCATATCCACCCAGAATATGATTTTATTTGAAAGTAGTCTTTGTAGACGCAATTAGTTAAGATGAAGTAATTCTGGATTAGGGTAAGCTGTAAATCCAATAACTGGTATTGTAATTAACAAAAAGAACAATTGAAACAGGCAAATGTTACAGTTATGCAACTAAAAGCCAAAGAATGCCAGGAGCAACTAGGAGCTGGGAGAAGGAGGAAAAAAAAAGAAAAAAGATAAGTCCCTAGAGTCCTGAGAGGAAGCACTGCCCTGCAACCTCATCTTCTTGAGAGTATGAATGTGTGCTGTTGTAGCCTCCTGACAGTTGTAATTTTGAGTAGCATCCCTGGACAACTAATGCAGTGAGAATGTGGAGAAATCAAAACCTTTGTCCATTGCTGCTCGCAATGCTCTACTGTTTGGAAAAACATCTGGGTAAGACCCTAAGCTAATCATAGGATTACCGTATGGCCCAGGAATTTCACTCCTAGATTTACAGCTAAAAGATTTGGAAGCAGGTTCAAAGACATACAGAAATGTTCACAGCAGCACAAGCACAGTAGCTAAAAGGTGGAAACAACCCAAGTTTCTATCAGTGGATGAATAGATAGATAAAATGAGGTACACACCATGGAATATTATTCCTCTAAGAAAAGCAAAGAAGTGCTGATCAGTAATCTTAAAGGAACCTCAAGATACACTAAATAAAGTACAGAAAGCTCACATATTTCATGTTTCCATTCATATGAAATGCTAAGAATAGGTCAAAACATAGAGACTGACAGCAAATTAGTAATTCCCAATTACTAAGGGGACATAAGAGTTACTGCTTAATTTTCAGATTTCTTTTGTGGCTCTTAAATCTTTTGGAGCAGGGTAGAGATGGTATTTATACAACATTGTGAATTTCATGTAAATTGTATTCTTTAAATTAAAATCACTTAATTCCATCAAGATTAGTAGCTTTATAAAGTAAGTAAGATGAAATCAAAGAAAGGCAAAAGATTTGAGGATGTGATGTATGGAATGTGTGAAACCATTGATAAATAGAATTTAGAGTTTAATAGGGAGATACAGGAGAAGGAGGTGAAGGACAGAAAAGGTTAGACCAAATTGATGATCAATCTAAGGATTGTTTAAGTAGTTGAGTCCTAGAGTATATTCTGATGTAATCAAAGAATATATGTGAATATATTGTTAAGTGTACATTATGTAAGATTGAAAATTTCATTGAAAAAGAGGACTTGAGACAGTTCATATTGTCTAGGCCTGCCCATCCTTTCTATGTTAGTTAGTCCTTGAAAACCTGTAGGAAGCTATACTCTGTAGGAATAGTACCTGTCCTTGATCCTAAAAATTCTGTTGACTATAGTGGTCTTCACCTTCACAAATGAATATAGCTAGTTCAGAAATAAATTTACCAGAGTTATGGTCCGTATTAAAAGATATGCAAAAATCTGAACTGTTTGCTTTTTTGTATTTAAGACTTACAAGATTCTGATTTAAAATGTTCAAAAACTCAGGTCTTATAGTATCGCTAATATTAGCCTTAGTCCCTTACCTAATTGAATTCATACCTCCCAAGGCAGTAGTTTTATTATAGATGGTTTTTCAGTTAGAAACCATTTAAAAACTTTTTAGTACTAAAGTAATAGTCTTTCTCTTGGTGGTATTCATTTCAGATATGACTTCTAAAATATTGTTCTGAATAATTTCATTTGCTTTTGGGTCTCCCTTTAAATAGCAGACTTTTTCCTTCATAATGCAATCAATTATCCAAATCTTTTTCCCCTCTGTCTTTATATTTCATAAAGTATTCTTGGGTGGCTGCTCTACCTTCAGTCTGGTACTTAGCTAGCCAGTCCAAACTTACCAGAATGGTAATATAGCGGCACACACATGAAACTGCTGGGCACTATTCTGAGTCCTCATACTAGCTATGAAGTAGCTTCTATGATTAGTCTCATTTTCCAGATGTGTAAACTGAAGGGCTAACCACCTCAGGCCCTGGCTTCTCAACTCAGAAGTACAAGCTTTCAACACTGTATCAAATGATTTCTTAATCTTAACATTTGTGGTTCCCATTATAGGATAAAGCGTAAGCTTCTTGACATAGTATGAAATGATCCAACATATAACATAGTCCTTCATGATCCAATTCCTTCTGTTCTAGAGCCTCAGGGCCTTGTCATTTGTGTTATATTCCCTTAACTCCAGACTTGTTTGTATAGCCTCTAGTACATGGTGCTTTTCCCATCTCGCTCAATTTGTACATTCATTACCACCCCCTTCAACTTGCTGACTCAGTTCACACAAGTTTCCCTGTACATGACGTGATGGAACTTGCCTGTAAGTCCAGCGCTCTCAAGGTGGAGATGGGATGATCACAGATTAAGACCATCCTGAGCTATGTAGCCAGACCTGGCTCAAAAAAAATTTTTTTGACTCTATGTATTTCAAGTCTTATTCAAGTTTGTCCTCTGTAAACCCTACTTGTTGCCTTGAACCCCACTCTATTTCCTCTGCCATGTGGAGTAATCAACCCTCCATACCCTGCTCCCCATGCCCTTATCGTTTATGTAACTCTTCTGTATCATCACACTGATCACATGTAATTGAAACTATACCCAAATGTGTGAGCTGTGTCTTCTTCACTGTGTAGCAGTTGTCATCATGAATCACTCTGAGTAAAGTTTCAAGTATTTGTTTATTTGCAGATAATTATTCATGGTGATGGCCTACAGGGTCATAAACAAAAGAAGGCATGTGGGACTTCAACAACTTTCATCATTGGCACAAACAGGAAGAAGTTTCCTAGGTCCAGTAAAAGCCACCAAGTTTATTACAGATGCAGAGTGTCATGAAAGTGTGTTAATCAGCTCGACAGTAAGGCTCCTGGAAGGTTTGGATTTAACCTGTGCAGTGGGGTACCTTCTCAACGAAGCAATTGAAGCACAAAAGAGCATATATAGAATTGGAGCCAGCACTCTTCTGTTTCTTGTTGGTGCGTGGAGCAGCGCTGTTGAAGATTGTCTCCATCTGGGTATCCCCACTACAGTCATAGTGTCAGTAATGTTGGAAGGCTTGAACTCTTGCATTGAAGCAGTAGTTTCCCTTCAAGTACCTATATACAATATATTTGACCACATGGACAGCATAAGTACAGGTTACAAACTTGAAACAGTTGATGTCAGTTTATGTCCTTTTCTACAAGTCCCTTCAGGTCCTGGGTCTTTACAGGAAAAACATGATTTCAAAGATGTTACATCGCAGTTACTGTCCACTTACAGTCTTTCTGGGGGACCTGTTAAATCACCCAAATTCTTCAAACCTAGGGCTAAGTTTGAAACAGATAAAAGCACACCACAAGCTCTGAAAAACAGTCTACACAAAGATTCCTTCTGCAGGAAGTCAGTACTAACTCACAGTAGGCATTTTAATAGGATAGACAGTAGCCACTGTTTAAGCAGACCTGATGGGTTTCTAGACCGACATGGATCAGCTCCCCAGATTTTTAGATGTAGTGATTTGGTGGAGTTAGCAGTTGGGTTGAGCCATGGAGATCACAGCAGCATGACACTGGCTGAAGCAGCAGTGAGGCTGCAGTGGCAGAGTGTGTGCCTGCAGCAAGCCAGCTGTATGGCAGCATTTGTGTTTGATATTTCAAGACTCCTCACGTGCTGTCTCCCAGGCTTACCTGAAGCTTATTCTTGTGTGTGTCTCGGATATGTCACTGCTGTACCCATGTCTAGTATTACCCTGATCAAGGAATTGCAGGATCAGCCTTTCCGGATGATTCTCATTGAGGGTGACCTCACAGAGAGTTACCGCCATGCAGGATTTAATAAGTCTGTAAATATTAAGACCAAGTTAGATACTGGGGAGCTTCCAGAAGATAGTGCAGAGGAACTGTGGACAAACCAGGTGTTACAGGTGTTAATCAAGTTCAATGTGAACCTCATCTTGGTACAAGGAAGTGTCTCTGAACACTTAACTGAAAAGTGTATGCACAGTAAACGGCTAGTCATTGGGTCAGTGAATGGCAATGTGTTGCAAGCGTTTGCAGAGGCTACAAAAGCAGTGCCAGTATCCTATGTTACACAAGTGAATGAAGACTGTGTGGCCAGCGGGGTGTCTGTGACCCCCTGGACAAGTCCTCATGATATAAACAAGAGCAACAGAATGACAATCTTGGTATCAGCAGAGGGAATTAACTTGATTACAGCAGTACTCACTAGCCCAGCAAGTGCTCAGATGGAAACCAAGGAAGACAGGTTCTGGTCTTGTGTATATCGTTTATATCATGCCCTAAAAGAGAAGAAGATCTTCCTTGGAGGTGGTGCTGTTGAATTTTTATGTCTTAGTCATCTTCAAATGCTTGCTGAGCAATCTTTCAATAAAGGAAACAGCGCTTGTTTTGGATGGCTTCCTGATTCTTCCTCTTGGATGGCCTCATCGCTTTCAGTCTACAGACCTACTGTGCTGAAGTGCCTGGCAAGTGGGTGGCACGGATTCTTGTCAGCTGTCATGTGTAACACTGCCACTCACCCATCAGCAGTGGAAGCCAGCACATTCATTCAGCATCATGTACAAAATGCCACCGACTCTGGCTCTCCTTCATCTTATATCTTGAGTGAATATAGTAAACTAAGTAGTGGACTTTTTCATTCAGAGATTTCAGATAACCTGGAACTGGTTCCAAGAGTTTATGATACTGTTACGCCAAAGATTGAAGCATGGCGCAGAGCATTGGATTTAGTGCTCTTAGTGCTTCAGACAGACAGTGAAATAATTACTGGACTTGAACACGCACAAATGAATTCACAGGAATTAGATGGAGTTTTATTTTTGTAAAGTTATCTAAACATTTGATAAATAAGTTGTCATATTAAATTTTAAGGTGTATGTGTATTTGTGTATGTGTACATACACATGAATGCGGGTACCTGAGTAGGTCAGGAGGGCATCGGGTCCCCTGGAGCTATAATTATAGGTGATTGTAATCCACCCAGCACAGGTCCTGGGATCCCAGCTGTGCAAGAGCAGCAAACACTCAACCTTTGAGCCATTTCTCCAGGCTAAATAAAATTGTATGGTCAAATCATAGTGTGTAAATTACTTTTGCCAAGAATAAGAGTTGATGTCTATCAGGAACTGCAATTTTGTGTTTTGCCCTATTACTAAGCTAACAAATTAGCCTATTATTATTTCACAGGTGCTGTAGGATATGCAAGACACCCAAATCAGAGGCAAAGAGCTTTTGCTATCAGAGTGTTGTATTGATTTTGTCAGTTTCTTGGTTTTTCTGTCCCACCAAAGGAGCACAGAGGGCCGGTGGCAGGACCCTGAACAATGGATGTTCTCTTGTAGGAGAGGAACACTGAACTTGCGATGTTCATTACTTAAGCAGAAACCCACTTATTTGTCCAACAGGAGTGATTACACATCCTTCACCACTGCTTAAGTCAAACCAGCCATGGATGTGGGCTAGGTAAAGATTGGTCAAGGCATTATATTACTGGCATCTACATTAAGTATAGAGATGCTGTTAGTTACTTTTCTATAGTTGTAATAAGACACAATGACCAATGCAACTTATCAAAGTGTTTAATTTGGATTTATGGTTTCAGAGGGTTAGAGCTATGATGGCAAATGGTGGCAGTAACATCTGAGGCCTTACATCTTGATTTGCTAGTAGGTGGTGGAGGATTGGGGACTGTGGGAATGGTGCAAGTCTTGAGATTTGAAAGACCTTACCCACTGTAATACACCTTCTGAAACAAGGCCATACTTCTTCATCCTTCCAAAGTAGATCTGCTTTATTCCTTACGCACCTCCTTAAAAGAATGTCTTGGTCCTTTCTTTTTGTCTTTTTTGTCTGTCTTTTTCAATCTCCACAAACAATATAAAAATTATTAACATTTAATGGATGGTTTTCCAAGGCTTTTTAAACATGTATATCTGGATACGTTGACCCCAAAGTGGCACCACTAAACATACCACGAAATTTTCTACTACTGTGAATTGATCTATTCAGTAATTTACCCGATGTCCTCAAGAGTTTTGTGGTGCATAACTACATCTGAAAATTTTCAAGGTCTGTATGCTGTGTGTAAGTTCAGAAGGAAGAATGGGAAGTGTGTAGGCAGATGAAGGGGTTATATGCCATTCTAAACACCCTTAAATGAGGCATTCCTGTGGTTGGGATTAGCTCAGTCGTTAAAATATCACATACACATGAGGAACTGTTTAACATCCAGCACTCCTGTAAAGAGTTGACTTGTTATATGTATTTAGTTTTTTTAATTAAATTTTATTTTTTTTACATTAAAAAAAAGTTTTGTGGTGTCACCATCCTGCACAGTGACTCACTACCACCTGTTAGAGTAGAGTCTTTCTCCACAGTATAGTCAGCCCCAGTTTGGAAGATGAAGAAAGATCCTTGCCACCTTAAGACTTAGAGTTTCATAAAGGCTGTTGGTTCTCCCAAGCAAATGTACAATTCATCTGAAGTCTACATTGGTAAATTATATGAATTAAGAACCGAAGTCTTCTCTGAGTGTTTATCTACAATAATACATTTTCATTGCTCATTCAGATAATCTTAGCAATGGGAAGGAAACGTGAAGGGCCAGGGAGAGAGCTCACATTCTCGTTTTATGTTTTGGCCACTACAGTGCAGCGTGTTAATGAGAAGGCTCTTACAGCAGAAATAAGAAGGCAGCGTCCCTTTCCAAACGTGTCTTCCTGTGTTGCACTTAGTTACTCTCTTAAGGCTGCCGGTAGAACAGTTGGTTCCTTTGATCAGTACTTTGCTCCAAAAAAGCCTACTGAGGCCTTCCTTCGTTTGACCTGTAGGTGGCAGAGTTCCTCCTGTGGTCCCCAGATTTCCACATCATGTTTAAAACCCGCAAAATGAAAGAGTTTCAGCAGGGCAGCACCAGTGTGCAGTGAGGGCATTTACAGCACAGGGGGACCTGTGGGTTTTCTTTGTTACCTGCTCTGGAGGTCTTCCTTTGCTGTTACCAAGTGTTGGCTTGGGAAAGAGATTCAAATTCTCTTGCTCTTCTACCAGGTCTTTAAAGACAGTTAAATGGCATCACTCTTATGACCTTCAGCTCTAATGTTGGTGATTTAGAGGTATAGTGAAGCCCACTATAAAAGGGAGGAAGTATAACATTTTTTTTCTTAAATAAAGCCAGACTTGAAAATGTGAGTGTACTTGATGCTACTAAATTTGGAGGCTAGGAACTGAACTTGGATTCTCTGTAGAATAACTGCTGAGCCATATCTGCCCCTCCAGCAGGCCTTTGATAATTGCACGGTATATCCTTCAATATAAAATGGGTTTTTGTGTTAAATGATTTTGTCTAGCTGTAGGATAGTGCATGCCCTCTGAGCATGGTTAGGTAGAGCTCATCTATGATGGTTAGCAGGTTAGAAGTTTAAATGCAATCACAGCTTCCAGTTGCCATAGTTCATTGTGGGCTAGCCATTGTAAGTTAAGGACATCTATGCTGTGTAAAGAGCTAATTAACTGTACCCCTGGCTGTCTCTTATAGTAGCAAATAACAGGAATATTTTTTAAGGGCAGAATATCAGCTCTGACTTCTACAAAATGTATTTCCCAAAATGTGAAGTTATGCCTATTATGCAGCAACATGTCATTTAGTCTATTTCAGACTATTCTGATGTACATTTGTCTCTTCTGAATTTTTTCTTTTTCCACTTTTCTTGGTAATTGCATCAGAAAAAAAATGTATGCCTCTTTACTATGAATTAAAGCAAACTGAGAAGTTCTTGACCTATTAACAACATTGAACAGTATAGGTTGATGCCCAGAAATAGGTAGAACTGTTTGCCATGTTGACCTCCTGAGAAGGAGGTGGGAAAACCTACTTCCTTAATGGTTCCACTTTGAAATAGTCTCCTAAAACTAAGAGAATCTGGGTGTAATAGTATATTCCAGCCCTCAGCAGGCTGAGGCAGTAGGATCACATGGAAAGGTCTTGTCTACAAAGAAGGGGGGGGGGAACCAATGTAGATGTAATACATCTTCACTTTATCTTTTAATCGAATAAAACAATCACAGGGTTTCTAAAGTATTCCAGAAGAATAAGGACGTGGTGGGGCATCTATCAAACTTTAGATGCCCAGACCCAGAACCTGAGCCTTTCTTTGACCTGAAATCTCCTTTTGGTCAGGTGGGATTTTTGCAGTAACTCTGAGCTTCAGCTGCACAGCAGGGTTTTTGTTTTTTTTTTTTTGTTTGTTTGTTTGTTTTGTTTTTTTTTTTAATTCAGTCTTTTTTTTCTTTCTTTTTTTTTTTGAATTTTATTTTTTTCTTATCAGTTACATTTTATTAACTCTGTATCCCAGCCGTGTCCCGATCCCTCATTCCCTCCCAGTCCCTCCCTCCCTCCCCCATCTCCACCGTGCCCCTTGCCAAGTTCACTGATGGGGGGACCTCCTCCCCATTCATCTGATCCTGTTTTATCAGGTATCTTCAGGACTGGCTGCAAAGCTCTCTTCTGTGGCCTAACGGGACTGCTCCTCCCTTGGGGGGTGGGGAGGCCAGAGAGCCAGTCATTGAGTTCCCACAGCAGGGTTATATGGAGAGCTTTTACAGCTGCCTGTGTGCCGAGCATCATTTCTTACTCTGGGGTGGGAATACACACTACTTATTTGGGGGTTTGTTTCTCTTTGTTTTTAAGACAGGAGCTTGGGTATCCTAGGCTTTTAAAACATAGTGAGTTGGTGAGGATGGCCTCAAACAAAGATTCATGTCTCTACTGCTCAAGTGCTAGGACTGTAGATGTACACTAAGTCCAATTTGTGCTGTACTGGAAATGGAAACCATGGCTTCATACACACCAGATATGCACTCTAGCAACTTAGCTACATCCCTAGCCCCACAACAGTGCTTTTATTTCTTTTCCTGGCTAATGCTAGTGTGCAACAGAAACAAAACTCTAGCATTCAGAAGCACAATTAGAAAAACCTTCACTGGCTCCTTAGGCTTTCTTTGAAACACACTGGCTGCTTGAACACAATATGTTAGGTCCCCATCCTCGGTTTGGGCAAAGACATCTAAAGAGTGTCCAGCAAGGACAGCTGTCTGCTAGTAGAGCTTCCAGAGAAAAGAAAGGTGGAAGCATTCTAGGATTATATAATGGTAGTTCACACGTAGTTGTGCCAAAAACCATTTAAGTGTATATGTAAAGTGGAGAATTTCATAGTATATGTAATGTAGCTTAATAAACACCCTGTGACAATTTTTGTAATTTCACTTCTGAGCCAAGGGGCTAGACTTCAGGTGAGCAGCTTTCTTGGGGTGGAAGGGAATAAGGGGAGCAAGTCAAGGTCTAGGAACTGCCCAGTCTGACTCCTTACCTGGTGTTGGGTACAAGATCAGCTTACTTAGTGATTATTTTGCTTTACAAAATTCATGAATTGTGCTTTGGAAAGACAAGAGATGGTTAAAAGAAATTTAACCTCCTCTTGATAATGAAGATTCCATCTTAACCTATATCAGCAAGTTTCTTGAGACATGGAAGCAACTTTTGATAGATAACATGTAATATCAGAATGTTTGACACAGAAGGTTGCAGAATGTCTGTCTTTGAACTCAAACATTTTGCTCTGGAAAATCAGTTCTGTTTAGGACCTTATGGTAACCAGTCAGGTAACATTTGAGACTTAATATAGCCTATCTTTAACATGTATCCACTTATAAAATTCTATAAGTCAAAAGAAGAACGAGATAAAATCAGGGATCTTTGGATTCCCACACCGGGTATGTGGGCTATTTTTCTCATTGCTGTAACCGTATCGCTCAGCAAGAAGCTATTTATTATTTTTTTGTATTAATTACAGTTTATTTACTTTGTATCCCAGCTGTAGCCCCCTCCCTCATGCCCTCCCAATCGCACCCTTCCTCCCTCATCTCCTTGCCCCTCTCTAAGTCCACTTATAGGGGAGGTCCTCCTCCCCTTCCATCTGACCCTAGCTTATCAGGTCTTACCAAGGCTGGCTGCAGTGTCTTCCTCTGTGGCCTAGCTAGGCTGCTCTTCCCACGAGGAGCTGGGGAGGTCA